ATATGTGGATGAGAAATGGTCTTTGCCATTACGTTCACGTATTCCTCCAAACTCCAGTGGATACAAGCAACACCTGTCTGAGACATTTAGTCAGTCATTTGCTGCTTCACTCAGACGGGAGTCCGCAAGCTGCCACAGGTGCCGCTTGTTAGCAAGCCTCCAACTGGAGGGCTTCAGTCCAGCGTCTCCTCTTCACAGGTGTTTCAATTTCTACAAATGATTCTTTTTGAGGCTTCCTTGATGCAATTTAGTGTCCTTGCAGCCCTCCCTTCCTGTATACTGTTAGAAGTAGGAGCAAAATCTCCTCATGGAACTGGTAGTTTATAACTACAATTCTAACTGCCTCATGCCCTCAGTTTTCCTTGTATACACGTGGGTACATGGAATTGGCTGGGGTCATTTTCTACCTTTTTAGTAAACTCAATTATTATTGGCTCATCTGCAGTCTTCTTTAGAATTTAAAATGCCTCTTTCCTTCAGCTTTATCCTCATCTGATAAAGCTACTGTTTTAAATATGTGATAGACATGGAGGGAAAAATGCTTCACTCCATGTCTGTCCCAGATTTAAAGTAATAGTTCCAGTGAAAATAATATCAACTTTATTACTTGATTTTTAAAATACTTTAATGTCTTAAGAAACATAGAATAATTATTGTAATATCAGGTTTCATCATTTTGGAGGTCTGTGAAGGTTCTGACTACCAGAGATTTCTGGTACTTATAATAATTTTGGGCTGTGGAAGTGAGGTCAAGTAGTCTTAACGTGGGGGAGCTTCACGCTGGACAATCTCAGAGGAGTAGGCGTGTACCGGAAAGAATCTCATTGGTGTCCATACTTTTTATTACTTAAACTCAAGATCTGTACACATCTTTTTCCTTCCATACATTTTACAACAGGGCGTTTTTTGAAGTTGCTTTTTTGAACCTCTCCTCGTTCTTCTAAACCAACAATGAGTATTGATTTGTCTGCCGTGCTATGTGTGGAAAATATTCTTTGAACTTTGAACTTGGGGAGAAACTGCTTTGAAGCTTAAGCAATAAAAGGCCACGTGAGTTTGGTAAAGAGATTTCTTTCACCTCTTTTTCTGGGAATTCAGCGTCATTCTGGAATCCCAGGGAATTGGAGGTTGGGAATATCCAGAAACATTACTTCTGGAGCAAGCATGAATTTCTTAATAAATTGGTAATAAATAGCAACAGTAAAGCTTCTCTACGAAGTTTTGCAGAGCAGAGAGTTTTTAAAAGTGAGAGCAAAACAATATAAGAGATCAGACGCTCTGTGATGACTGGCAGCTGTTGGATTGGCATGTGTCTGTGTGTGAGCATGCGCAGGAGCACACGCACACGTGTGAGGCATTTATTTGTCCCAGAGATAACTAAGGACAGCTTTGGAGGGGTGAGGCTCTGCTGTTATACAGGTAGTACCTATGGAGCCTTCAGTCCATCCACTCTTTTGAAGTTTCTCTCACCTAAGGTTATCACAGTATCCCGTGTACAATCACGAACACTCACTTCTTGACAGAAGAGAGCATGCATTCATGTTGTTGAGTCACAGGAAATGAATATATTTGCTCAGCTTCTATTGCAGTGATGTTTAGTCTCTGAGTTTAAAATCCCCTGGCATGTCCTTTCCAGTTGTAATTCTATTGACAAGCATTCCATATTCTGATCATCACTATCCGAAAGTTAGGATCTGGGTGCTAATTTGATTAGAATGGTAATTTAAACACAGCATTATACTGTGCATTCAATACAGAAGAGAACAGGAAAATTAAGGGGAAAAACAACCACAATTTAAAAATAAGACAAATAGGAAAAAAACGTCTATAACAATGTAATATTTTTATCATCAACTTGGCAAATATATATGTACACACATGTATATGTAATTTTTTTCCCCAAATAGTGAATATAAAATAACTGAGATGGTCAATGAATGATGATATGGGCATCAATTTGACCTCATCTTGAAATGCGGAGTGAATTTTTTGTCATTAAATGTAGCTGCTTCACTCTCTCTCCACTTGAAGTGTTTTATTCTTAGCCTTTCTTGGACACTGGTAATAACAATGTTGGAGAAGATTTGCCACTAGCGAACAGTAAAGTTAAATAATCATTAAAATGACAACAACAAAAAACTATTTTTCAGGACTTGAGAACAGAAACTATGTATTATATTTACGTCTACAGGACTTAATTTACTTCACAATAATATTTTAGTTAATTGATTTACTTGAGGGTAGGAAGTCATGCCATACAGAACACTGAGTTATGGCTGGAAGCAGAATCACAATACAATAAAATCTCTTCCAGAAAGTAATTTTTCAGTGCAGAAGAATATCTCAAAATAATTTACAATATACTGATTTATATCAAAACTTAGCAATATTAATAAAGTTTATAGCAACTAACTACTATTGTATGACTGCTTAGTGTCAGGACACTAACAAGGGGATTTTTCATAACATTTTACCCATTTAATCAGCACAATCTATGACCATTACCAGAAAGAAAATAATTCTTCTGGTATTCGATCATGATAAACATATTAACCGACAGAGTGTAATTTAAATAGAATTCTATAGAGAAAAATCTCAAAATCACATTTAGATTTATTATAATTGGAATATTTTATATTAGAAAACACATAAAGGGTGCCCTTCTATTATCTGTGTCCTTCTATTCAATAAACCTGTATATCCAAACAGCAGTAACAGTAAGAAACAAAAAATGTCCTGAAAGTATTGTTCAGTGTGCTAAAAAGGTTGATATGTTTTTCTTTTTCTTTTTGAGGCAATTGGGGTATTTAATCCTAAAAGCAAACCAAGTGGTGTCACTCAACCCTGTATAAAACACTGAAATATTTTAATGGTGAATGCTTTGATGAACAAATACTTAAATAGCTGATTGCATATTTTATTTTCCACTCATTGCACTACATGGATGCAAATAGAGAAAGAAATAGTGAAATTGACTAATTGTGTTCAGTTTAAGTAACAGATCATGAGAAATGTTTCATCGGGTAATTTTGAAAAATAATCACACAAACACATTCTACGTGAACATGTTCTTGGGACTTGTAGTCTTACATCTGTTGATTAATTTAAAAATGTTAAATTATTATGTTTAAAAAATGTTAAAAAAATAAATCAGTGGTTCAAGGGAAAGTCAACCTACAGTAAGGAGGAATTGATATGACAAGATTTATTTTTCTCCTGTCCGTGTGCTATATAACTCTAGCTTTGGCCTTTGGGAATTAAACTATCATTCCCCAAACAGGGTCAGGTAATGAAAGAGAGAAAAACAATTATAGAGATATAAGTCCTTATCCTATATTCAAACCAGTTCTTTATGGTATGGACCTACCCTTCTCCTTCTTTTTTTGTTTTGATTTTTGTTGAGAAAGAGTGGCCCTGATCTAACACCTATTGCCAATCTTCCTTTTTTTTGCTTGAGGAAGAGTGGCCCTGAGCTAACATATGTGCCCATCTTCCTCCACATTCTATGCAGGTCACTGCCACAGCTTGGCTGAAAAATGGTGTAGGTCAGCACTCGGGATTCGAACCCGCAAACCCACCCCGCCAGAGCAGCGTGTGACAAACTTAAGCACTAAGCCACTGGGCTGGCCCCTACTTCACCTTCTTTTACTATCCCAAATGCAAGTATACCAAATATGTCTGTAGAATAGACTTGTAGCTTTTACTAACAGTGTCACCTCTTATATCCCTCCAACTTTACCATTTCAAGGACCAATGAACAGCCTGAGGGCATTTCCAGAAGTCCCTACAGTTAGCAACAGAGTAGTGGTGTCAGAGTAGTAGTTGGTCCTCCTTAGGATTAACCCTCAATCAATAAATAATGAGAATGGACGTATATATATCCAGATCTAGAGGGTAGTAAATTTTAGAATTGTATTTTGCACTATTTTCTCCCTAAGTTTAAATTTTAATGGCCCTTTTGGTACCTGGCACAATAACGGACCATTTATTGGCTGTCTTCCCGTGCCTGTATTATTTTCCCACTTCTGAGCCCTTTCAAAATAAATTACAGGCACTTGTTTTAGGATCTGATTCTAGGGTAACAACACTAAGATAAAATCAAAGGTTAACTCTAATTTTTATAAAATATCACTGAACATTTAATTCTTTGGTCATTTCACTTCTCAAACTTACCATAAGACATGAACATTTGTTTAAAAGTTTTTATTTTAGTCTCTTAGAGAAGTCTTGTTCTTTATTATTCAAAGGATCAATATAGTTAATTAGCTGGAATATATGGACAATCCCTAAGGGAAATTATATTCAAACCAATACATTTAAACAAGGCTTACTATCAGAGTAACGAGTGAATACCACATAGGGAGAAGTTTCTCTAAAACTTCTTTCATATGAAAAATAAAAAACATAAGTGGATAAGAGCAAAGGAAGAATCTAGCTGTGGATAAAGAATCAGGGTCCCTCACTAGGTTTACAGTTAAATACTTGGAGTTGTGTCACAGTGTACATCATTCATCAGTATTTATTAACAGTTGATTATTTAAGAGGTATGATTATTAAGATGTATAGAGAGCAGAGTAACTAAGGGAGCATATTCCACTTAAGAACTTCAATACTAACAACCTGTATTTGACAGTAAAAAGTATTAATTACTTCCCATTTATTTTTTATTTTTTCCACGAGAAGAGCATTCATTTTCCCCAGTAAAATGGTGTGAAACATATTTAGCTTGATGCTATTACCATTGGAGAAGGAAAAATTGAATGATGTCGAGGGGCAAGAGATACTCTGTAGTTTTGTTCATTGAGTGAATAATTAACAATTTAATGACCCAATGCAAAATTTACTTTGTGTAAACACTTTGAAAAATGTAAAACAGATCCAAGTGTTTCCTGGTTACTATCCTATGAATTCTTTAATGATAGTTAATATTGGTAGAAGGAACATAAAACCTTGGGTAACCTCTTTGTACAATAGTGTAAGTTTACACTACTATGGCTGGTTTAGGCCATTTGTCTAAGAGGGTTCCTTTGTGTTACCCTTTGAAAGGCTTCCTTTACTTCCTTGTTCCTCAAGGTGTAGATAACAGGATTCAGAGCAGGGGTGACCACAGTGTACATGAGGGCAGTGGCTTTGTCCGTTTCTGGAGTGTGTGCCGTCTTAGGTTGGAGATAAGTGAACAAGGCAGTGCCAAAGAACAGAGAAACAACCAGGAGATGAGAAGAACAAGTGGAGAACGCTTTGCGTCTTCCAGCTGCTGAAGGGATTCTCAAGATGGTCACAAGAATGCGCGTGTAGGAGCACAGAATGAGGAAACAGGGACTCATAATGAAGAGCACAGAGACAGCAAACAACACAATTTCGTTTTGGGATGTATCAACACATGCCAGTTTCACTACAGGCATGATGTCACAAAAAAAGTGCTGAATCTTTCCTGTTCCGCAGAAGGGCAGACTGAGGATCCAGGTGGTCTGGGCTGACTCCACCACCACCCCGGTGGTCCAACATGCTGCAGCCAATTTCAAACAGACACGAGGGCCCATGCGGAGAGTGTAATGCAGTGGGTGACAAATAGCTACAAAGCGGTCATAAGCCATGGCTGCTAGCAGGCAGCATTCTGTCAGTCCTAAGATGGTAAATACGTACATCTGAGCTGCACAGCCTCTCACACTTATGGTCTTGGTCTCTGCCAGCAGGTGCACCAGCATCAGAGGCACCACACTGGTGATATAGCACGCCTCCAGGAAGGAGAGGTTAACCAGGAAGAAATACATGGGGGTGTGCAGGGAAGGGGTGAGCCCGATCAGGCAGATGATGATGAGGTTTCCTCCCACAGTAAACAAGTAAAGTATTAAGAACACAAGGAACAGCACAGGTTGTAACTCTGCTAGAGAGGAAAAAGCCACAAATGTGAATCTGGTGCAGAGGGACTTGTTTCCACTCATTGTAGATCAGAACCAGACATCTGTGGAGACAAGAAAGAGGGCAGATAAGACCTAAAGGAATCCAGTTACCTAGCACAGATTTCTATCAAACCTTAGAAAAAGGAGCTTTCCTAGGATCAGTGGTCTGACATGAGAAGCTAGACACCTGGATTCCTTTTGCTAAACCCTTCTAAAAAGCTACCAAGTTAAAATGGATGTAATATTCCTTCCTGATTTTGAACTCTGGGCCTTAGGCTATTTTCACAGAAACTTAGAGAAAACAATAACTTTAAATTGCATAATCTGATTTTTTTTCATTTTTATCTTATTGATATACTAATCCTATAAACAGGGTATAACATAAGTAATACATGAAGTCATTCTAATTATACAGGAGTGACATAAAACCTAATTGTATAGAGTAAAATACAAAGGTGCTCTATCCTGGTCTTCTCAATTCTACAACCTTCATTAAAGCCACACTTCAGAGTTTGGAAGGGAGTATATTTTCAGTCACTTATCTATTCATTTTCATACATGTTTTTACTCATTGTGATTTGAAAAGAATAAGCCAATGATTAGGCAGCTAAACTCCATGGTGACCCAAACTAACAGAATCTCCTTTCCACAAGCTCAATGTAATTTTACCAGAAATTGTGAGTAGGAGGACATACATAGATCCACAAGGCAAATTTTCTTTTCCTTGTTGGACTTCTGGACTTCCTATGATTCCAAAGTATAACATAATGATGGAATAGGCAGTATTTCTGTTCTGATTGGAGACCATAGGGATTGCATCCACTGCACACCAATTAATTATATTTGTCTCAGAGGAATTTGTTCAGAAACAACGATGAACGTTCAATGTAAATTTGTTTTTCACTTTTTGAATATATTTTCCAGAGGTAATCTATTGCTGTCAGTTACATCATTTAAATTTCAACTGTAAAACTAAGTTTCTAAGGGATTTTCATCATGCGATTGAAATAATTATTGACCTTTCTGGATATTTGCCATACTAATCTTCTTTAAGCTCCTCACACAGACACTGACTGCTCAAGTCTTTGTGAGATCAGCAAGCACAAGGCAGTACACAAAGCAGACTTCTTAAATTCCACAGAAAGCATTCATGTTATTCATTATCAATGCTTAAATTGTTAGCAGCACAAATAAATAGGTTTGATCAGGGAAATTCCACATTTCCAATAAAATTAATTAAAATAATTTATCAAAAATATGAAAAGTGGCTTTTTGGGACACTTATTTATTAATTAATTATTAATTAATTAATTAATTATTTTATCAACAATATGAAAAGTGGCTTTTTTTGGCACTGTCCTCAAGAAATGAAAAACTTGTTCATTCTCAATGACCTCTATTGCATCAAGCAGAATACATTCGATTTTTACTTTTTCCACCTTTATTGAGGTATTAATTGACAAAATTGTACCTCTTTAAAGTGTACAATATGATGATTTGATTTACATATGCATTGTGTAATGATTTCTACAATCAGGCTAATGAACACATCTATCTTTTGTGTGTGTGTGATGAGAAACCTTGCTACTCTCTTAGCAAATTTCAAGTGTACATACAGTATTGTAATTATAGACAACATGCTGTACATTAGATTCTTACAACTTATTCATCTTATAACTGAGGGATTGTACTCATTGATCAGTGTCTCCTCATTTCCCCTACTTCCTAGCCCACTCTACTCCCTGTTTCTATGAGGTCAGCACCTTTTTTTAGATACTACAAATAAGTGAGATTATAGACTATTTGTCTTTCTGTGTCTGACTTATTTTACTTAATATAATGCCCTCCAGGTTTTTGTCTGTCTGTTTTGTCGCAAATGTAATATTTCCTTCTTTTTCGTAACCAAATTATACTTCTCTTTGACATTGGTCTTGGCAAATTATTTCATATTTTTTGGACATGAAAAGGTAACCTACAGAATGGGAGAAGATATTTATAAGTCATATATCTAGCAAGGGGTTAATATCTATAATGCATAGGCTCTCATGCAACCCAATAGCAAAAACCAAGTAATCTGATTAAAAAATGGACAAAGGACCAGAATAGACATTTCTCAAAGAAGACGTACAAACTACCAACAGTTATATGTTAAGATGCTCAACATCACTAATCACTAGAGAAATACAAATTAAAACCACTTTGAAGTATCACCTTATATGTGTTAGGATGGTTGTTATAAAAAAAAATAAGAGAAAGCAAATGCTGCTGAGGATGTGGAGAAAAGGAAATCCCACTGTTGGCGGAAATGTAAATTGGCATAGCCGTTATGGAAAACAGTATGAAAGTTCCTTAAAAAATTAAAAATAGCACTTCTATAAGATCCACTAATCACAGTTCTTGGTATATACCTGAAGAGAATAAATTTAGCATTTTGTAGAAATATCTGCACACCCATTGTCATTGCAGCATTATTCACAATAGCCAAGATATAACCTAAGTGTTCATCTTTGATGTGTGTATATAGTAAGATATTAATAAAATAGAAGAAAACAGAGCTGCTACTGTATTTCTCTAATTTAACCTCCATCTGGACTCTGTGTTGACTATTTATGAATCTAGTTCTGAAACCAGGGGATAGTATTAAAAACATAACATAAGTGTATGTTGGATGTAGGATATTTATTAAGAGAGAAAAGTCAAAAGTCCTCTCCTGCTGCTTCATATCTGCTTTTGACAAGAATTACTTGGTGAAAGGCCACAGTATTTGGTGAGGTAATGGCCAGATGAGAATGAGCACTACCAGCAATAACAGCAAAATGCTGTAGGGACTTCAGAGCCCATGACGACTTCTCCTATCCTTCTCTAATGCCAGTTAACAAGACTTTGTGAGCGGTCCTTAAAACAAGACTTAAGACAAAAGAGCGGATCATGGCAACAAGGCATTTTCCAAGGCGAGAAAAGAGTATTTAAGGAGGAATGATTAAGAGAGACAAACATTAATGAGAATTTTAGAAAAAAATATATCTTTGATTTATCTGTTAATTTTTAGCTACACATTAGCAATTGACAACCTCAGAAAAGAATAATTTTGAAAAAGAAGTAAGAGTACAAATAAGATTGAAGCTTTTGAGGAAAGAGAAATTAAGAAATGAAAGAAATTATTGGAAACAACACAGCCATTTGGCCATGAGGAGGAGGAGAAAGACAAGGTGAAATGTAGAGGAAAAGAAAGGCAGGACAAGAATATTTATTGTTGTTATTCTCTATGTTTTTGTGATGGGAAACCATGAGCTTGTTTAATAGCTGGTGTGAAGGAGTCATGTAAAACAAAGCTTACTCTCTCATACACATTTTGAAAGCTCCCAGAAAATTAATAAAAACATTCAAACTAAAGGCCTATTTACCTCCATTCCTATTATGTGACACAGTATGTTCATCTTTCAACAAAAATTGAAAGTATGACACAAGCAAGGAAAAGCAGTGTGGAGAGAGAAAGCAATTATCAAAACCAGTCTCAGCAAGGACACAGATTTTGGCATTATATGGTAGATACTTTGAAATAACTATGGTTAAGTTAAGAGCTCTAAATGAAAACATATGTGATATTCAGGAACAGGTAGGAGTGTAAGCAGAGAGATGGAAACTCCAGGGAGAATCAAAAGTAATACTAGAAATAAAAAATTATTCTATAGCAATAAAGAATGCCATTGATGGGCCCATCATCAGTCAGCTGGACATGGCTGATGAAAGAATCAGTGTACTTGTAGGTAGGTCAGCAACAACTTTCCAGACAAAAACACTGAAATGCAAAGATAAAAAACAAAAAACAAAAAAACACCAACAAGTATTGGTCAATTTGCAATGAAGAACCAGGCACTCAACTGGAAGAGCAAAGGAAGAAGAAAGAGAATAGAGCAAAGAAATATTTGATGTAATACTGGTTTAGAACTTTAAAAATTCATGACAGAAAACAAACCATGGATCCAATATGCTCAGAGAACAACACGCAGGTATATAGCAAAACAACATCAAAAGCAATGACAAAATAAAACACATGTAGGCATAACATTCAAACTGAAGAAAACTGAAGATAAATAGAAAATCTTGAAAAGATCCAGGCGAAATTAACCCTTAACCTTTCTGAATTCTCATCAAAAATCATACAAACAAAAAGAGAATGTAGTGAAATATTTAAAGTGCTAAAAGAAAAAACCCCACCAACAAAGAATTCTGTATTCAGTGCAATTATCCTCCAGCAGTGAAGGGGAAATAAAGAAGTTCAAAGAAATAGAATTAAGGCATTTATGCCCAGCACATATGCTTTGCAAGAAATGTTTAAAAAAAGAAGTTCTTTAGAGAGAAGGAAAATAATAAAGGCCAAAAATTCAGAGATCATGTAACAACTACATGCAATCTTTTATAGAAGCTTAATATAGAATTGGGAAAAAATGGAAGCTATCAACATGTTACTGAAAAGGCAGACGTAAGGATTCTGAGAAGTTGGCAGCATAGGAGGAGTTTGAATTCACTTCCTCCCATGGACTCAACAAATCTGCAACTACCTGTGGAAAAATTTCCTCTGAGAGAGATTCGCAAAAAGGATAAAAAGAACCTGCACAACAAGGGACAGCAATGACAGAGATGGAAGAGGTGGAAATACACCTCTGCTGAGAAAAAACATCCTAGCCATAGTGCTTCACAGCTGAAAGCAATCTGAAAGGTATGAAAGGAGGAATGGGAAAATTGAGTGGGGGATCTATGCTAGAATAAGCATCCCAGCCTTTCAATGCAGAACAACCAAGATTAGATCCCGTATTACCTGGCTTTGCTGGCTTTGGCAACTGATAGGGAATATTCTCAGAAAAACTAGAGAACTTCAGAGAAAGATAAACTTGCTCTTAAAGGGCATACACACAGATTCACCTATTCTGGAAACCAACACAAAAACACCAAAAAAAAATGTACATAGTCTATTGGCAAAAGAAACTCACTAACTAAGCTCTGAGCACAATTCAGAGAAGCAGGAAGCTGCTGGGCCTATG